GTGGTGGGTCCTCACGTGTTCATCCTCTGCGCATTCGGGATCATCGGAGTCGCGGGCACGGTGGAGGGCGCCAAGCAGCAGAACCCTGCAGCTGCGGCCTGGGGCTCGGGGGCGGCGCAAGCTTTTGACCACGTGTGAGTTCTGTGTGTGTGTGTCTATGCACGCTCTGCTTTGCACCAGCGCGCCCAGCTCGTTCCCGAGAGCGTGTTGTGGAAAGTTTCTGTTATGTTCGATTGGTTGAGTCAACCCCTTTAAGTTCTGCCGAGGTCGCAGTGCAGTGACGAGCATGGAAACATGTGGTTTTCTCATGTTGGTATTTTGACGCGCTACAATCGGCAATAGGAACTCTCGGCACTTTAAATGGGATGTCCCCAGAGCTCACGTGATCCGAGGCTACACCTCACGTGCCACTAGCTCGCTTTCCCCCCCCCTCTGTCTCCAGCGACCGCCCGCGGGAGGCCCCCCCCGAGGGGAGGAGGAGGACTGCGCGGGAGTGCTTGGCCCCGATGCCTCGGCGCCCTCCCTTCTGGCTCCAGCGACCGCCCGCGAGAGAGGGCCCCCCCGCAATTGGTGGAGGAGAGGGACTGCGTGGCAGAGCCCGCCCCCCTTTGCCTGAGCGCCCTCCCCCCTCTCCGGCTCCGGCGACCACCAGCGGGCGGGGAGGAGGAGGAGGAGGAAGATTCCCGGTGGGTTGCCTTGGAGGGCAAAGTCGGGGCTCAAGAGACGGGGTTCAATGCAAAAGTGGGTCAGTCAGAGCGCCAGATCTTGCAGGATCTTGCAGGGCCAGGGTCGCACTGACCCGCGCTTGGGTGCAGGATCCTGCAGGGCCTGACTGCCCAGGGTCTGGATTTACCCATGTCAGTGGATCCCCGACAACGTCTACTCCGTAAGGGCTTCGCCCCCATGCCGCCGGCCCCCCCTCTTAGAATGGGACTTGCCAGAGCTGTGTTGGGATGTCTGGACGCTGACGTGAAGCAATGTCGGGTATCCACGCGGGGGCCAATATTAATTTACGATAGTTGATGGCTTCGGTGGCGCGAATATTAGGTAATTTACGATGTTTGATGGCTTCGGGGACGCGAATATTAGGTAATTTACAAGGGCATTGGCCTCGGGGACGCAAAGATTGAGTAATGTACGAGGGTGTATGGCCTCGGGGGCGCAACTATTGTATAATTTGCGAGGGCTTATGGCCTCGGGGACGCGAATATGATGTAATTGCAGAGGCTTGTGGCCTCGGGGACGCAAGCATGGTGTAATGTACGAAGGTTTATTGCCCTGGGGACGCGAATATTTAATAATCTGCAAGGGTTTATAGTTTCGGGGGCGCGAATATTCCGTAATTTACGAAGGTTTATAGCTTCGGTGGCGCGAATATCAAGTAATTTACAAAAGTTTATGATTTCGGGGACGCGAATAGCGCGAAAATTAGAAAGGATTATGGCTTCGGGGACGCGAATATTTCTTGATTTGCAAAGGTTGATGGCCTCGGGGACGCGAATTTGGCGTAATTTACGAGGGATTATGGCCTCGGGGCCGCGAACATCATGTATCTTCACATGTCCCACGACCCCCCTGGAATTCAGACAACGCGATTCGAGGACGCCAACCAGGACGCTTTTCGGCCCCCCCCCTCGCGCGTTCAGCAACAATAAACAGTAAGGAAGCAGGAAGCAGAATTGTAACAGTGGAAACTGGGAACTGTAACTGGCACAGGAAGCTGCAAGCCTAATCTTGCAGCCTGATGGCCCCGCAAGGGGGCCGGCGGCCGCCGGGCCTGCGGATTTGTTTCAAAAAGACCCCAAATCGTGGGCCTGTCCCAAATACGGCTGTCGTTACGTAGATAGTCACATTCGGGGTGTACACGTCTAGGGACAACGCGGCCTTTGCGCTCGGCGCAGTACAAGATCGGAGAAAGGCTAAATCCGTCTACGGTATGTTCTTGTTCTAGAGCAGGTCCCACATGATGCTCAAAGAGCTGTCTCACCCCTTGGGGTGGTCCAGTGCGCCCGTACGGGCCGTTGGGCAACGCACTTGGGGCGGCCAGCACGGGGCGTTCGAGCCCCTAAGGGATTGACCACTTTCCGCCAATCGACTTGTGGGCATCGAGCCAGATCAATCAAGGCGAATGCAGATAAATCCAGGTAAATCCGGATGCATTCAGGTACATCCAGAGATTTCCAGAGGAAGTTGGAGCCAACCGTGACCCCTCCAGCGCGGACCGAGGGACGGCAGAAGTCGTCAAGACCTTGACGGTCAACAGGCACCAAGGAGACCTCGAGACCCCAGCCGGCCGACGCACCAGACCAACCAGCGAGGGAGAGGCGGGGGGAAGCGGGCGGCGCCGGCGCAGAATTCTTCGGCCCGCGGTAGAGGAAGAGAAAACGCTGTAAGCATAAACTTTGGGCGCTCCGCGCGGATGTCTTGGATCTGCGCCGGACCCCCCCCCCTGGCGCGCGGTGCGCGCCAGGGGCCCAGCGCGGAGCCCAGAAATCCGCGTGGAGCGCCAAAACGTTTGTGTTTATGGCGCTTTCTCTCCTTCTACTCGGGCGCCCCCGAGCGGCCATAGGACAAGCAGGGGACCTCTGGGGACCCCTGCGGGCTCTGGCGCGGAGGCGTCGACGCTGCTCGCTCCTGCCGGGCCCAGGGGCCAGCAAGGACATCGCGGGACCCCCCTCGAGAGCGAAGGCCGACAGGTTTGGCACCCCGCCTCGGACCCGATCGAGCCAGGCCACCAGTCCTTGCTCCAGAGATCTAGGTTCGGAGCGGTCAGTGTTTTCAACCATCTCCCGCAGCAGCTCGCTGACTGCCGCTCTGTCAAAGTGTTTCAGAGGGCGTTGCACCTCCGAGCCAAAGGTGCTGCAAAATCTCACGACCCAGTGTGGCAGCTCCTGTACGCCACGCCTTACAGCGTTCGCTGACCAGACTGAGGGTGCGCTTCAAAAATATGTTGTATACATATTTATATCGTTGTATAGGTGTATAGATGTATAGTTTAAAAAATACAATTGGAATCGATACGTTACTAAATAAAACAAACACAAAAAACTCAGACCCAGGCGAGTGAGAAGTCGGCCAGAAGCGACGCATCACCGATTGTTGTGGAGAGTCCGGCCCTAGCCATGGCGACAAGGATGCAGCTTGCCCAGAGTCTTCCTCCCCAGGACCGAGGATCAGGGACGATGAAGAATCCCAGTGGGCTGCCTCCCCCCATAGGGGTGGTCCACTGCGCCCGTGCTCACCTGGTGCGGCCAGCGCGGGGCGCTCGAGAGGCCCCAAGGAGACCTCGAGACCCATTGCGGGAGCTCGACTGCGCTGGAGAGGCCGTTCGGCATACCTAGGCGTCTCCCACCCTCTTCTGGCTCTGGCGACCACCCTCGGGCGCCTCGAGGGAGGGAACGGGGAGGGAAAGGGAGGGGGGTGGCGAGGGGAAGGAGGAGGAGGAGGAGGAGGAGGAGGAGGAGGAGGAGGAGGAGGAGGAGGAGGAAGGGAGGAGGGAGGCACCCGTGAGAACGAAAAGCCTACCCCGGGCGGGCTGGCCCGATGGGCGCCTCGAAGGGCATGGCACCCACAGCTGAGGATTGGGAGGAGAACGAGGAGGAGGCGGAGGAGGAGGAGGAGGAGGAGGAGGAGGAGGAGGAGGAGGAGGGTGAGGAGGAGGAGGAGGAGGAGGAGGACGAGGAGGAGGAGGAGGAGGCGGAGGAGGCGGAGGAGGCGGAGGGGGAGGAGGACTACAGGGGCCAGGCCGATCCCCGCGCTCTGGGCACCCCCCTTGGCTCCAGCGACCGCCCGGCCGGGTCCCTGCCGGCCGGAGGGCGTGTGGCTGACCCTGTCGCTGGTCGCCATCGTCGCGACGAAGCAGCTGCTGCAGAGGACCGCCGCTGGGGCGAGCGCCGAGCCCTGGGGCATAAATCATTGCTCCCTATTGTTCCTTTTCTTACAACAAAAACCAAAAAATATCCCGGCAAAGCAACCTAACAGCGATATGTAGGAGCATATCTGGAAGCATTCCCCTTAAGATTCAGATGAGAATCCTGTTGTAGAATTCTGCTGTTCTCGCAGTCGTAGTCGCATTCGCGATGGCAGTCGCAATGGCAACGGCAGTCGCAGTCACAGCCTCAGCCTCAGCCTGCCTCAGCCTCAGCCTCAGCCTGCCTCAGCCTCAGCCTCAGCCTCAGCCTTCAGCCTCAGCCTCAGTCTGCCTTCAGCCTCGGCCTCAGCCTCAGCCTGCATCAGCCTCACCCTGCATCAGCCTCAGCCTCAGCCTCAGCCTGCCTCAGCCTCAGCCTCAGCCTGCTTCAGCCTCAGCCTCAGCCTCCTCAGCCAGCCTCAGCCTGCTTCAGCCTCAGCCTCAGCCTGCCGTCGGCCTCGGCCTCAGCCTCAGCCTGCCTCAGCCTCAGCCTGCATCAGCCTCAGCCTCAGCCTCAGCCTGCCTCAGCCTCAGCCTGCCTCAGCCTCAGCCTCAGCCTGCTTCAGCCTCAGCCTCAGTCTGCCTGCAGCCTCGGCCTCAGCCTCAGCCTCATCAGCCTGCTTCAGCCTCAGCCTCAGCTTCAGCCTCAGCCTCAGCCTCAGCCTGCCTCAGCCTCAGCCTGCCTCAGCCTCAGCCTCAGCCTGCCTCAGCCTCAGCCTCAGCCTGCATCAGCCTCAGCTTCATCAGCCTCAGCCTGAGCCTCAGCCTCAGCCTGCCTCAGCATCAGCCTGCCTCAGCCTCAGCCTCAGCCTGCCTCAGCCTCTGCCTCAGCCTGCTTCAGCCTCTGCCTCAGCCTCAGCCTCAGCCTCAGCCTGCCGCAGCCTCAGCCTGCATCAGCCTCAGCCTCAGCCTCAGCCTGTCTCAGCATCAGCCTGCCTCAGCCTCAGCCTCAGCCTGCCTCAGCCTCAGCCTCAGCCTGCTTCAGCCTCAGCATCAATCTGCCTTCAGCCTCGGCCTCAGCCTCCGCCTGCCTCAGCCTCAGCCTGCATCAGCCTCAGCCTCAGCCTCAGCCTGCCTCAGCATCAGCCTGCCTCAGCCTCAGCCTCAGCCTGCCTCAGCCTCAGCCTCAGCCTGCTTCAGCCTCAGCCTCAGTCTGCCTTCAGCCTCGGCCTCAGCCTCAGCCTGCCTCAGCCTCAGCCTGCATCAGCCTCAGCCTCAGCCTCAGCCTGCCTCAGCATCAGCCTGCCTCAGCCTCAGCCTCAGCCTGCCTCAGCCTCAGCCTCAGCCTGCTTCAGCCTCAGCCTCAGTCTGCCTTCAGCCTCGGCCTCAGCCTCAGCCTGCCTCAGCCTCAGCCTGCATCAGCCTCAGCCTCAGCCTCAGCCTGCCTCAGCATCAGCCTGCCTCAGCCTCAGCCTCAGCCTGCCTCAGCCTCAGCCTCAGCCTGCTTCAGCCTCAGCCTCAGTCTGCCTTCAGCCTCGGCCTCAGCCTCAGCCTGCCTCAGCCTCAGCCTGCATCAGCCTCAGCCTCAGCCTCAGCCTGCCTCAGCATCAGCCTGCCTCAGCCTCAGCCTCAGCCTGCCTCAGCCTCAGCCTCAGCCTGCTTCAGCCTCAGCCTCAGTCTGCCTTCAGCCTCGGCCTCATCCTCAGCCTGCCTCAGCCTCAGCCTGCATCAGCCTCAGCCTCAGCCTCAGCCTGCATCAGCATCAGCCTGCCTCAGCCTCAGCCTGCCTCTGCCTCAGCCTCAGCCTGCTTCAGCCTCAGCCTCAGTCTGCCTTCAGCCTCGGCCTCAGCCTCAGCCTGCCTCAGCCTCAGCCTGCCTCAGCCTCAGCATCAGCCTGCCTCAGCATTCAAAATGTGGCCCGGGAATGGAGTTCTGGGAACTCGAAGAACACGAAGTGGCCTACAGTTGGCTCAAGGCATTGAAAATCATACCCAGGAATGGAGTTCTGGGAACTCGAAGACCACGAAGTGGCCTCCAGTTGGCTCCGGGCATTCAAACTGTGGCCCGGGAATGGAGTTCTGGGAAGTCGAAGAGCACGAAGTGGCCTACAGTTGGCTCCGGGCATTCAAAGTGTGGCCCGGGAATGGATCTTTGGGAACTCGAAGACCACGAAGTGGCCTACAGTTGGCTCCGGGCATTCAGAATGTGGCCCGGGAATGGAGTTCTGGGAGGTCGAAGACCACGAAGTGTGTAACGGTTTGAAAAAAATCCCCGGCACCCTCCCCCGGATCGCTCCCAGACCCCTTTGGGGCGTCATGATGCTCTCTTTTGACCCTACTAGAAGCCTATCAGTCTTCGCTGTTAGGTAAAAACTCCCCCTGGCGGCCGGCAGCCAACAAAGAACAATGACAACCTCCCCCCACACCATCCTTTTCAAACAACAGCACTAAGTACACGTTGAGCAAGATATTGGGTCATGCTCGTGGGCTTCGCGAGCACTTTGCAGTGCTTTCTGACAGGGACAGCGGGGGGGGTATCAGATTGCCTGCTGCGCAATAGGCGACTATCCCTATCAACAAATTATCCCGGCAAAGCAACCTAACAGCGATGTGTAGGAGCATATTTGGAAGCATTCCCCTTAAGATTCAGATGAGAAGCCAGTTGTAGAATTCTGCTGTTCTCGCAGTCGTAGTCGCATTCGCGATGACAGTCGCAGTGGCAACGGCAGTCGCAGTCACAGCCTCAGCCTCAGCCTGCCTCAGCCTCAGTCTGCCTCAGCCACAGCCTGCCTCAGCCTGCCGCAGCCTCTGCCTCAGCCTGCTTCAGCCTCAGCCTGCCTCAGCCTCAGCCTGCCTCGGCCTCAGCCTCAGCCTGCTTCAGCCTCAGCCTCAGCCTGCCGTCGGCCTCGGCCTCAGCCTCAGCCTGCCTCAGCCTCAGCCTGCATCAGCCTCAGCCTCAGCCTCAGCCTGCCTCAGCCTCAGCCTGCCTCAGCCTCAGCCTCAGCCTCAGCCTCAGCCTCAGCCTCAGCCTCAGCATGCCAGCCTCAGGCCTCAGCCTGCCTCAGCCTCAGCCTCAGCCTGCCTCAGCCTCAGCCTGCCTCAGCCTCAGCCTGCCTGCTCAGCCTCAGCCTCAGTCTGCCTTCAGCCTCGGCCTCAGCCTCAGCCTGCCTCAGCCTCAGCCTGCATCAGCCTCAGCCTCAGCCTGCCTCAGCCTCAGCCTGCCTCAGCATCAGCCTGCCTCAGCCTCAGCCTCAGCCTGCCTCAGCCTCAGCCTCAGCCTCAGCTGCTTCAGCCTCAGCCTCAGTCTGCCTTCAGCCTCGGCCTCAGCCTCAGCCTGCCTCAGCCTCAGCCTGCATCTCAGCCTCAGCCTCAGCCTGCCTCAGCATCAGCCTGCCTCAGCCTCAGCCTCAGCCTGCCTCAGCCTCAGCCTCAGCCTCAGCCTTCAGCCTCAGCCTCAGTCTGCCTTCAGCCTCAGCCTCAGCCTAGCCTCAGCCTGCATCAGCCTCAGCCTCAGCCTCAGCCTGCCTCAGCATCAGCCTGCCTCAGCCTCAGCCTCAGCCTGCCTCAGCCTCAGCCTCAGTTTTCAGCCTCAGCCTCAGTCTGCCTTCAGCCTCGGCCTCAGCCTCAGCCTGCCCAGCCTGCCTCAGCCTCAGCCTCAGCCTGCCTCAGCCTCAGCCTCAGCCTCAGCCTGCCTCAGCCTCATCAGCCTGCCTCAGCCTCAGCCTCAGCCTGAGCCTCAGCCTCAGTCTGCCTTCAGCCTTCAGCCTCAGCCTGGCAAGCACGCCTGCCTCAGCATTCAAAATGTGGCCCGGGAATGGAGTTCTGGGAACTCGAAGACACGAAGTGGCCTACAGTTGGCTCCGGGCATTCAAAATCATGCCCAGGAATGGAGTTCTGGGAACTCGAAGAACACGAAGTGGCCTACAGTTGGCTCCGGGCATTCAAAATGTGGCCCGGGAATGGAGTTCTGGGAAGCTCAAGAGCACGAAGTGGCCTACAGTTGGCTCCGGGCATTCAGAATGTGGCCCGGGAATGGAGTTCTGGGAGGTCGAAGAGCACGAAGTGGCCTACAGTTGGCTCCAGGCATTCAGAATGTGGCCCGGGAATGGAGTTCTGGGAAGTCGAAGAGCACGAAGTGGCTTACAGTTGGTTCCAGGCATTCAGAATGTGGCCCGGGAATGGAGTTCTGGGAGGTCGAAGAGCACGAAGTGTGTGACTCTTTGCGAAAAGCGCATTCGGACACGAGTTCGGACACAGCTCCCCGGATGCCGCCCCGACCCCCCTGTGGAGTCATCTGCTGCTCTCTTTCGAGCCTATTAGAAACCTATCAGCAAACGCTGTTAGGTAACAATACAAAAGACACTTCGCGGCCGAATCTGGAACATGCGTGGCCACACCGCGATGATTGTTCATTGGTTTTTGACAAGGACGGCGGGCTGCCTGTATATTGCCTTGCGTGTGCAGGCCCATCCGACACCATGGTGGCCTCCCCGCCGCGATTGTGCATTGGCTTTCGGTAAGGATGGTTGGGGCCGACATGTTTCCCGATGTGTGCTGTCACGTGCGCGGGCGCACCTGGCACACTCTGCGCGTGTCCCGAAAGTGGCGCGGCTGGACCATGCGGCAAAGGCGTGCCTGGCACGTTTGGGCTCCAGAGGCGCCTTGCGCACCTGGCGCGCCTGGCACGCGTGGCGCACCTCGCCCCAGAGTCGCGCACATAAGGTCTGTTTTGGTTTCCAATAGCTGCCCGTCCTTGACGACAGCTGGACATGCTGAGGCTCGGGTGATACTTATGTGTTGGGAGGGCGGGTTGGAGTGAGCGAGACAGCTTGCGGGCGGGGAGGGTGTATTGTCGTCTACCCTATCCCCATCCCCGCTGGGCCGTGGTGTCTCAGCACCACCAGTCAAGCCCCAGGCGGGGGCAGGCCTTGCAAAGCCTGAAGGGAGCAGCATGTTTGTGTGTATATATATATATATATATATACACAGTATGTGTAACTACGCCCATGTAAGGGGGGAAGTCGGCCAGTGAGGCCAAGGCCAATCGAGTGGGGATGGGGCTCGGTGAAGCGAGGCGGTCGCGGGGCGCAGGCCTTCCGAGGCGGCGGCCGGGGCCGCTCTTCCAGCAAGCCTCCGCCCTGTCCCGCGCGGGCGGAGGCGCGCTGGCTTTCGGCGTGGAGCGCGCACCTCTCCCGGCGCGGAGCCCAGGCTAGGGGGGGATGCATCGACCCCCAGTCGCCCACGCATCGCCGACAGGGGCCCGAAAGCCCACCCCGCCCAGGCACGTGCGGATCCGCTGTCGGGTGCCGATCGCCGATCGGTCGGCGTGCATCGCCGGTCTCAGGTCGACGTTCCCCCCCCCCCCCTCTGAGCTGGTCAGTGACTCCCCGAGTGCCTCGGGGGCCTCGAGGCCCAGGGCGCGAGCCCTGGAGCCTCCAGCTTGCAGGGGCCTTCAGCCCCCACGGCCCCCGAGGGCGGAGACCTCCGATGCACGGGCCGCGGACCCGCGGGCCTCAGAGCTGCCTCGAAGATCTCCTGGTGCCTCCGGGGCCACCGCCCTGCTCCTCGCGATCGCTTCTCGTGCGGCAGCGCTCGCTCTTCCTTTGCGCTCCCCGGCCGCTTCTACGATCACGTGCTCTTCCTGTCGACCATCGGGGAGGAGCAGAAGGAGCAGGAGGAGGAGGAGGAGGAGGAGGAGGAGAAAGGATCGATTGTGTTGGACGTTCGGGCCCGTTGCTCGGACCCCAGGAGGCCTCCAGAGACCTCTGGGAGTCTCCAGGCCCCCCCCGCCCTTCCCCATCACGAATGGGCACGTGCTGTTTTGTGTTCCGAGGTTCCACCCGCCCCACGTCCACTCACGTCCCGCAACGTGCCTGCATCGTCGTCCCTCTTCCTTGCTCCATCGACTCCGTGCGTTTCTGCGGGATTGACGTGGTCGAAGAGATCCAGGCCTGAGAGTGTTGCGTGCTCTATGAGTCGCGTGCAAAGGTGCAGGAGGAGGACGATGAGGCGAGGTTGGGGTACACTGAGTTGTGCTAGTTGGCATGCGCACCAGCCTTTCTATTATGAGTTAAGGGTCATTGTAAAATCCAGAGTAAGGCGAGGATGTGGCAATGGTCGGAGGAAGATGGGGGAAATAGATGGGGGGGAGAAAACGGGGGACACTGCGCAAGTGAAACAAGAGGGCAGTGGTGCAGGTTGGTGAATTTACGTTGTTTGTCTTTCTCGTCGTTCCTCACCGCCCCCTGCTTCTCATTCGCCTCCTCCCTGATGCGCGAACCCCTTCGACCAGGATGGCCTACGTGACCGAGATGTGCTCGTCCGTGTCCTTGCTTCAGAGGCTCGCCCATCGGGGTTGCGTATAAGAGCCCATTGTCTTCGTCTCTCTGCGGTCTTCTCGACCTGTCCACGCTGTGCTCGCCGTCGGGGACTCGCTCTACTCGAAAGCCTCGACGGTGGCATGTCATGGCGGGCGGATCAGTCCTGCTGGGGGCGACACAGTTGTTCCCGCAGGCCGCCTGGATTTCTGTTTGGATTTATACTCCCCAATCAGAGCTTGCCTCTGTAGGAGTCCCAGCGGATTCATATGGTTAGGTTAGCTGTGGCGCCGATTTCGGCGACACGCCCGGGTGCCCAGGTGCCCTATAGCCCTATAGCTTTATAGCCTTACAGCCTTATAGCCCTATGGCCTTATAGCCCTATAGCCTTAATAGCCCTATAGCCTTATAGCCCCATTGCATTATATCTTTAAAAAGAGTAGGAATGGTTTTTCTCCAGTATCATGTTCGATCTATATTATGTATGATGTTGCCTCTCATCACAGACACCCTTGGATACCCAAAATGTCGTGATCATGCAGGGGGTCTGAACCCTCCCAGACCAGCAATTTCAGACCTCACCCCAAGTCAAGGGACACCCTTGGACACGTTCCCCAGACCCCCCCCGTCCCTCCCAAGACAACTCCAAATCAGACCCCGCCCCCCCCCAGAAATCAGACCTCCCCATTATGTTTGGAGATCCGGAGTGCCCAACGTGCTTGCACGATGACTTCTGCCGTCCAGAAATATTTAAGCATGTTTTGCCAGCTTCACTGCACGTGTTATTCTAGCTTAGCGCGGGGTCCGATGCCATGTGCCCCAGTGCATGTTGAGTTGCCGTACATGGCATCAGCCTACGTGCAGATGTGGACCCGCCTGCACGCTGAGTTGCCCTCGTCTGGTCGGCGGCGGTGGGCGGCAGGGCGTGCGGCGTCGTCAGCGGCCCGTCGCCCCAAGAAGGGCATCAGGCGTGCGCTCAAAGGTCTGGGCACAGGAGGGGGCATCTTGCATAGTTTCCGGTAGGATGCTCGGGAGCTCTCGTTGGTTCCCGGAGGTTCCCATGCCTCGGGATGCGCCTCCGGCAGCTGCGCCTCCGGGAGCCCTCGCTGGCTCCTGGGGGCTCTCCTGCCTCGGGGTGCGCTCCAGCAGCTGCGCCTCGCCGAGGGCGTCCAACGGGGTGCGAGTCGTCTCGAGCGGTCGCCGGGGCCCCCGGGTATGACCCAGCAGCCGCGCGGCCCCCCGTCGTCGGAGTGCCTCCCCCTCCCCCTCCTCCTCCTCCTCCTCCTCCTCCTCCTCCTCCTCCTCCTCCTCCTCCTCCTCCTCCTCCTCCTCCTCCTCCTCCTCCTCCTGCAGGCGACGGAGGAGCGCCGTTCGGGGGGGGGGGGCGCCAAGCCCAAGCGCGCAGGCCGCTGCTGCCGCCTCGCCGGGCAGCGACCGGCAGTCCGCGCACCAGGGGTCCCTCGCGTGCCTAGAGGTCGCTGTTGCATGCAGCCAGGCCCAGGGTGCCCATCGGTCAAGTTGAAGGTAGGAATTGCTGGGTCCCCAGACTCTGAGCTGCTTCGGGCGCCTTCCTACTTCAAGGATCCAGTGGTTTCACCCTTTCCGTCCTCCTCAGAGGGCGGGCGGGCACCCCACCTGCTTCCAACACCTTCCTACTTCATGTTTCTACCTACGTCTTCCGACCGATGGATAGAGGAGCACCAAACAAGTACTTGAAGCGCGGGGCTCTGGGGTCGGCGCTGGACCCCTCTGGCAGCGCCTCTTGGGACGCTTTTTATGGCCTTCTTGAAGGCTTATGGTGCCGTCTTGGAGTCGATATTAGACCCATCTTGAGGCCTCGGAGGCCCCTCGAAGGCAAAAATCGCTGAAACACTTGCAGCGTTTGAGGGCTGTTGGCCTCTCGAGGGCGTCCTTGGGAGGTCCCAAGAATATATTGAGCCTTCTTGGGGCCTCTTGCAGACATGCCGGGGGGTATATTGTGTTCTTCTTGAGACCATTTCAAATAATTTGGGGCCGCCTTGAAGCCATACGGGGCCATCATGGACTCTCGGATGTCAACCTGTAATCAACAAATTGCGGCATCCCCCCCCTCGAATGGTTGGTGAATAGACCACGCGGGGCTCGAAACGATTTGCTTATCCGATCACCATGAACACGATAAGATGCCAGGGAGAGCGACAGGACCCGGGAAGACATGCGATGCCATGGTTACAATGACCATCTCGTACAGCATGAGCACACAGCGATCGTCCTCGATAAGAAGCCACGGATCATACCAGGAAGCCCTCGGCAATACGCAGTATCAGGAAGCGCTTTTCGAAGAAGAACGAAGCTGCAAACCCGTGGAGGCCAGCGCTGGAGAGTGGATGCTGAATTGCAAGAGTGCCACGTCAACCCAACGCCATGCCGAAGCCCTCGACAGAAGCGACAAGGCGCCCCTCCCCCGGATCAGGCGGAAGCCCCCGAGGCGCCCAGGAGGCATGGCCCTCGGTCACCACCACGATGGATGTGCTCCGCACAGCTTGTCCCACCCGTAGAGTCGTCCACCGTTGGGGGTGGGACCCCGCGGCGGGAAACTGAACAGCCACGGCCTCCAGCTTGTCGATGAAGGCCCTGCGACGCACGAGAGGCTCAACCCGTGCATCACGATGGGTCCGAGGATGGCATTCGATGACCTGGCACGAAAGCGGGAGTCTCGGCCCTGAGGGTGCCCGTCGCCATCGCCTCCATCTTAGGTTGTTGCAACTTCACGTCGCCCGCACGCTTGGCTTGGACAAGGGAGGAAAAGACGACGGCCTCCCACGTGCACAGCATGCCATGCACAGCCATGGACTCCGCCCCGACCTCGGTGAAGCACTCCTCCGAGGCCAGGACGGCCTGCGGCGCCAGCTCGCCCTCGTGGCTCCCGTCCACCACGCAGGATTCGACGCCGCAGGGAACTTCCACGCCATCGGAGTCGGTGGCGCAGCCTGCACCCCTGCGGAGCCCAGGCGCGGCCCCCTCCGAGCTTGCGCCCACGCCCGCTGCGGGGCGTTGGGCGCGCGGGCACCGCGCGGCGCGCCGCGCGCACTTGCGCCGAGGCCTTCGCCCGCCCGACGGCCTCTCCAGCCGCTGCAGCGGGAGGCGCCCGACACGAAAGGGGGAGGCGCCGGCGCTTGAGCAGAGCACGGTGACACGAAGGCGGGAGGCGCACGGCGCCCGAGAGTGGGAGGCGCACGGCGTTGCTGCTTATCACTCGAAGGCTTCGCTTGGTCAGAAGAGTGCTTCTCGCTCCAGCAACGCACCCATGACATCTTCATCCTCCTCCTTCCCCTCCTCCTCCTTCCCCTCCTCCTCCTTCCCCTCCTTCTCCCCCTCCTCCTGCTTCCTCCGTTTTTTTCATATTCCTCCTCCTTCTCCGCCTCCTCCTCCTCCTCCTCCTCCTCCTCCTCCTCCTCCTCCTCCTCCTCCTCCTCCTCCTCCTCCTCCTCCTCCTCCTCCTCCTCCTCCTCCTCCTCCTCCTAGTCCTACTCCTCCTTCTCCTCCTCCTCCTCCACCTCCTCCTCCTCCCCAGCTGCCATCTGGCCCCGGAGATTGTCAGGGCAGCCGAGAACTTCACACAGCCATTCCACAGCATGTGTAGGAAGAACTGACTGGGCAGAGGCTTTCATGGCAGCGATGGCATGGACCGCCTCACTAGCCCTGCTGCTGTACAATCCGATGAAATCACAAGGGGGCCGCATGAGCGAGATTCTCGAGGAAGCTCAGAACTTCGACCTAGTGATCGCAGGCATTCAACGGCATCGCAGAAGTGAACATCCAGAGCAGCGAAGATTAAACGACACTCGCTACATAGACGCAGGCTGGCAGAGCGACGTGTTGACCAACAGAAGTACGGGAGGATTGATACACTGCATGGACGACTACAAGGCGCACAGATACTGGCCACACATGTACCGCCATCAGAGTTGAGCGGCAGAGGATTAGCGGTGGACATACTTCACTAATAATTCACCGCAACATCAACATGACGATCACTGGGTACTACTTCCCACCGCAACCTCGAACCAAAAAAGACAGGAAGAAGTATTACGCTACAGCGGCGAGGCTATATGCATGGATCGACGAACGAGCACGGCAGCGACCAGCAGAAAGTCTACGATTCACGGCGGGCGACCTCAACGACGGCGTAGGCATCAACACACAAGAAACCATCATCGAGACGACGCGATAGGTCCAGGACGACCCAAAGAGCGACTACAGGGAGGAGCGGGATACAGAGCACGACAGTACGCAGACAGACACAATTTTCTTGTGGCAAGGACAACATCGGCATGGCGACCCACATAATTTGGAACACACACGGCGAGCTGCATCGACTACACCATGATTCCACAGGAGTATTCGGGCAACATCATTATCCAAGGGCCAATACGACGGATGGGCACAAACAAGCCGGATGAAGAGCACGACACAAAGTGCGTTGGGACAGGGACCGATTGGCGACGGCGGCGCGCAAGGGTGATAAGAGGGATGGCTGCATTAAGAAGATGGAGACCATTAGAAGACTACGATCCGATGCACGAAGAATTGACGCGCCCTTCGAGGACCTCAGCGAGATGATAGTAAGGGCGGCACAGCCAGTATACGGAAGCCAACCCCGACCAGAGCCAGAGTACGAGACACTACGACACCAGAAGATGGAACTTCTCCGACAACAACGCCACCTACGGGAACGGAAAAGATGTGACGGGGACGTCCTACGCATAGAGATACCTGCCGACCAGCGCGGGAGGATAATCATACAATATAGCAGGACAGACGAGAGAAAACGTGAGACGACACGCAGAACCCATATGCGGAGGAGGACACGACAGACCAGAACGAAGAATACCTGAAGCACTTGGAGAACCAGTTTCGCAGGATAACGAAGGAGCGCGCAGCCGTGAGGAAGGTGGAGTACACGAGGAAGACGGACGAAAGGGTGGCCGAATTGTTCGAGGCATGGAAACGCAGAGACTTGTCGCGAGTTGGACAGCTCACG